TAGTATTGAGAGCGAAATGTTTGTAAAGAATATGATTTATAAAAAGTCATGAACTAAATACATATGTAGAAATATACATCTAGGCTTGGACATATTGGGTATTGGTTCAGTTCGGGTATTTGGGGTATCGGGTAATTCGAGTAAGGGGCTAGAAAATCTATTTACTACTAAGCCTATTTTTGGTTCGATCCGGTTTGCATAGCTTCCGGTTTAGTTCAGATAGTAAATAAGAACCAAAAAATTATGATTCTCCTTTGGTTCTGGTTCCGGTTTGGTTAGTTCGGGTAATTCAGGTTAAATATTAAGTATTTTGGATAAAATGTCAAATACTTATGATAAGTTGGATAAAAATTTTGGATATTTCAAATTGCTTTGGATATTTAGGATAAAAATATTCGGATACTTTTGGGTAGTTCTGATACTTTATAATAATTTACTTTTCTTCAACTATTTTTGGATTCTTGTAACAGATTTTTAAACTAAAAATATATATTGAGTTATAGTATATGTATATAGTTAATTTTTTATATATTCGGGTATCTGTTTGGTTTTCGGTTCGAATCAGGTTCCGTTATTTCAGACATAGAAATATAGGAACTATTCAGGTGTTTGAGTGTTTGGGGTTATGTTTTGGTTTAGGGTATTTTGGTTCAGTTCTGTTCCGGTACAGATTTTTTCTCAGGTCTATATACATTTTTACATGCATAAATATACATTAACATTATTATTAGATAGTATGATTACTTGGAATTTATAAAAAAAACGTAACAGAATTAGTGATCACAATAATTATTTAAAGAAATTGTAGTAATATAATTGATTAACATAATTAAAAAAAAAAAATTGACTGCACTCTAACCACACCAAAATGATAGGTGAGCAAAGTGGAAAGTGGTTCTTCATTTTGTACATGCACGAGTCCCATTTGCGGTATAAATCATACATGGACATCTCCAATGGCACATAATATTTTTCTTTATAATCTACACTAAAATAAAGTAACTCTAATATATAGTAAATTTTGCTCTAATGATTTACTTTATAATAGAGTTACCCTATTATATAGTAAAATATAGAGTAATATCATTATTTCACCCCAGTTATAGAGTGAAAAAATAACATTCCTCTATATTTCACTCTATAAAAATGTAAACTACTGAAACAAAATTTACCTTCATAACAGAGTTACTCTATATTAATATAAATTATAAAAGAAAAAAAAATAGTGTGTTACTGAAAATGGTCTAAGAAACGCACATTTTTCATTTTAATTTTTGTTGAATGGTACTAAAATTCACCCAACCTAGTAACCACACCCTTCCCGATGTATTCATTCACAGCCTAAGTGTGTACTAATTTTGTATAAACACATCATGTGTTTCACTTTATCTATCTGATGTGGTTATATGTGTAATATTTTTAACTAATATCTATTATTTTAAACATTTTATAAGATTAACATAAATGTATTTTACCAATTTACAAAATATTCAAAATTATTCTTAAAATAGCAAAAATAATTAATAATTTTTGGGTTCCATCGTTTCCATCCATACATCTTGATCCGAAAAGAATTAAGAGAACTTAATATGTGTTTATGTGACTATTGGTAAGATCTGGGACAAAGAAATAAGTTCTAGAAACTAAAAAAGAGATCCTGAACAATCTTACCGGTGCCACCTTTCCACCGTATATCCCACAACATCCACAACATCATTCTTCTCAGCAGGCCCGTCTCTAGGGGGGGTGCCCAAGGTGCTTTTGCACTGGACCCAAATTTTTTTTGCCATTTAGGGCCCGTTTTTAAAAAATTTAGGGCCCATTTCCAAATTGTTTAACATTATACTTGCACTGGGTCTGGGAAAATATTGAGACGGGCCTGCTTCTCAGTCATTTCAATTCATTATTATTCCTTAACAAATTCATACTAGTTTAGACACCATCTATTCTCGGTGACACAAACAAACAACGCACACTCAAACACAATCATTCATTATTCCAGTTCATTTCATTCATCTAGAAACTTACTCATTAAATTCTTTCTAGGAACCAGACAACATATCAATATTCACACAAGCAATTAAACATTCAATATCAGGAATCAATCTCTCGCATCAACATATGGTAGTCCATTATGTTATAGTAGCTAGGTGCCAACTTTCTTTTCTGCGAGTAAACTTCCCATCATATGATATACATTCAACAACATAGCAATGATTATCTTTTAATCAGTGAGGATTGAATCTCGGAGAAGATTTTGATTTGGGAGTCTTCACTATCGCCAATCTTTAAATCACCTTGAGCAACTCTAGCCGCCTCTACTATTATATATTTAAGTGAATGGATGCAATGTTTTATATGAATCATTGAAATTGTCTATATAAAAAATTACAGCTATATAAATGAAAGATTGCAACTATTGATGCTTACAACATTTGGTAATATTCATATTGATGATTGCAGCTCTTGATAATTAACCATTGTAACTTGTTACTAACCATTGTAACTCTTCATTAACCTTATACAACTTTTGGTTTAAAACTCATCGCTCTCTATGTAATGAACTGTAGGCATTGACATAGAAAAATCAGAAACTAATAATTAATTAAAAAATAGAAAAATAAAAATTTATTGTTCAAAAATCATCAAAAAATATTTGAAGAAACTCTTATAAACATTAAAGTTTTCTTTGTTTCTCTTGTATCTTATCTAGATCTAGTTACCTCTCGTGCTTTGCACGGGTCCGTTAATTTTACTACTCCAAGTTTTTCGACACAAAACTGTAATGATTATCAACATATCATTATTTTTGTCACTCATTTTCTTAACCTAGATAACACACTGACACATAAAATTATTACATTTTATAAAGTATAGATTTCATAGAATTACTTTAATATCTAAATGTATGTAAAATATGATCAAAATCTCTTAAATAAGTTTTTTTGTGCAACAAAAAATCTCTTAAATGACTATTTACACGTTTTTATATCCTAACTATATATCTGTAGAAAATTTCATAGGTAGATTAGTACGGTTAACAAACTTTAAAATAATATATACATAAATACCTAGTATGTAGATTGGAATAAGTTCTCCCTATCGAGCTTCACATATATGACAATGTAGATTAACGGCACTCTCTTTTTCTAATTCCTTTTTATCATGTTTTGTTTCAAAGAAGTTTGAATTCTAATTTCTTGTTATATAAAACTGTAAACAAAGTTGTATTTAATTTATTCTAACACTTTTAGATATCATTGTGATGTGTTTACCTTTTCCCACAAGAATATAGTTTTGCATGTTGAGAATTATTTAATGTCTCTGATAGTAGTACTCTGTCAACCAGACTTTGAGTTCCATTCCATTGCGAAAAGCCAAGTTACAAAATAGAAGTATTTTTCTTAGAATCTCCAACTTAAACTTATGCAGAAGGAATCACATAATTTCTTATTTTTCGTATAGAGAAGAATGAAAAGAGAATAAATATTTTTTCTCATACTCAAAACTCAAACAAAAAACAAAGATGAATTGATAGAGAAGGAGATGAGAGAAAAAATACAGAATAACAATGGATCGAAAGTTATATATGGGATAAAACAGTTAAGATTGAGAGTTGTTGAATTCTAGAACGTGTTGTGATGATTGTCGAGAAAAAAATAGGTTTTCTTTACAGTTGCATAAACATTCAAACGGAAGGAACGTGATGTACTTTTGATTTTTAAAGGTTTTGTAAAGAAATTACATATGTCAAATTTTAATTACACAAGTGACGTATGCTTTAGTATATATCTAGAATAAGAATAAGACTTTGATTATCGTATCCTACAAAGAGATTTTGTGTAATCCAAGACTTAGAACATGATTAAAACACTCTTTAAGGAAAACGGTGTGATTCAATTATTATCTAAGTATATAATTCACAATTTTTGGGATACAATCCAAATAACCAACATCTACTATTTATACTCGATTTTAGAGTTTTTTTTTGGGTGAAAGCAATATGGATTATTTATAGTCTCGATTAAATAAATTGTGGGCGTGAGAGGAAAGTTTCATAACACTATTAAAGAAAACAAAAGAAATAAAAAAAATTAGAAAAAAATGTAAAAGCAAAACTCCCTTTCTATTTGAACAGGAAGCAAAACTCCCTAATCAAAAAAAGTGTACTACCTTTGCATTTATTTGGTCAGATTATTCGCACCGTTGGTAGAAATTAACAGTTTGTTTCTGTAAAATATTAAGCTGGGACGGTGGGTTTTATTCGACTAAATCAAAGTTGGAGACTTGGAAAAAAAAAGATGGCGGTCATGAGGCAGTTTGTAGTGAAAATGACTTGAGATCAAAGCAGCTTCTTCCAACTAATAGTTAGTTAGAGAAACAGAGAAATAAAGATTCATTGTTCAAATATCATCAAAAATCTTTGAAGAAACATTAAAATTATTTTTTGTTTCTTTTATATCTTAGCCTAGAACAAGAGTGAAACTTTCGTGTAACCCGAGACTTGAACTATAATTGAAATACTCTTTAAAGAAAGCAAACTGATTCAATTATTATCCAAATATATAATTCACAATTTTTCGGGATACAACCCAAATAACCAACATCTACCATTTACACTCGATTTTATAGCTTTGATGAAAGCAATATGGATTATATACAGTCTCGATTGAATAAATTGTGGGCGTGAGAGGAAAGTTCCATAACACTCTTAAGATTCAGAACACATGATTGGATTCTCATAATAAACAATGAAAAGGGAAGACAAGTAAGAAAAACAAAAAAAAAAAAGTAAAAGCAAAACTCCCTAAAACTAAAACAATGTGTACTACCTTTGCATTTATTTGGTCAGATTAACGCACCGTTGGTAGAACTTAACAGTTTGTTTCTGTAAAATATTAAGCTGGGACGGTGGGTTTAATTCGACTAAATCAAAGTTGGAGACTTGGAAAAAAAAAGATTGCGGTCCTGAGGCAGTTTGTAGTGAAAATGACTTTAGATCAAAGCAGCTTCTTCCACCTAGTATTACCAAAGGTGAACATGAAAAGCACAATGCACATAACAAAAACACCCAACACAAAGTAACCAAAGACTCCATTTGTGTTGTACAACGGAATTGGTATGTTCATTCCAAATATGCTGACGACTAGTGTCCCTGCAGTTATCGCAAAAGCAGCTTTATTTGTCGTCAGCTTAAGAACAAGTAGTTGGTTACGTTTATCCTTCTCTTTTATCTTCACGTAGGCCTCTGTGTCGTCAATGTACTTCCTCATGGTATGTAGCTTGTTTCGCGTTCCCTCCACTTGTATCAAGTATGCTTCCAGCAACATCTCCAGATCCTCCACATCCTCTTGCTGATTCTGGATAACTTTCCTTGTTAAGTAAAATTCTGCCATGTCTCTGTCATCATCTAATAAATGTTCGATTGCATCTTTCACCTTTTGTACACGGGTGAGTAAGCATGTGAGATTACTTTTCAAGCTTCGTACGATGGTAAGATTTTCCATGGTGATTTTTTGTGTTAGTTCAGCAAGAACAGGCAAAGCTTCTGTCTCCAAGGATGCAACACTGTTATCAAAGAAAGAGCAGACAATTTCGAATGCACTCTCGAGGACCTGAAATTCAAATGGAAGCTCACTCTGAAAGCCCTCTTCGGCTTCTGGATCTTGAGAAGATTGTGTAGTTTCAGGTACAGCCCTCTGAGGGAACTGTTTCTTTAGTTGGTCAATGAGCGAAAGTACTTGAGGGCAGAGAGGATCCAGCAACAACACTTCGTTGGCGGTAACTAAGGCCTTGATGTTCTCTAAATTGATAATAAAAGATTTCTCCCTGCCTACAGATCAAAATATAAAATGAGTTACGTTGTTTCTTAATTCACAACACGTACGAACACAGAGAAGATTCACAAACTCAGATAGACTAAAAAATATTACCGAGAATGTTCGACGAGTTGGAGAAAACAGGGCCACGAATTCTTAAATCCCTAGCAGGGACGGGAACACGTTTCATGATGTTGCTTTTGTCGCATTCAATCACTTCCGTGTTTCCATTCCGACAAAACCTCATCCACGGCCTTGTTCTTCTTGTTTTCTTGTTTCTCTTCTCCGTCATTCCCTCTGCATTGGTTGGTATAGGAGCCGAAGCGATCGATTTCTCCGCGTCATCCTTCACAGCGTCGCCTATGCTCATCAGATGATGACTTTGATTCGACATCAAATCCAGCTGTTGAACCGTTTGCTTTTATTACCTTCCTTGAGCTCTAAGGCTTCTTCTTCTTCTTTCTCTTAATCCTGCAGATACGAATAGGGTTTTATTATAACAAAAACTGATGCATTCAGAATACTGGTGGTGGAACCGTTTTTTCAAATAATGGTCCTACAGATAAATATACTTTCAAGGTGGAGAAAGAGCGAGAGAAAAAAAAAAGCGAAGAAGAGAGACTTTCCAAAACTTTCAATGAAGGCTTCAGCCGAAGGCGAACAGAGACTTGGTGATTTTAGTTATACAAGCAAATCGGTAGCGTGAAAGTAGGGAGGACTTACTACGACGTTAGGAAGTTCCAGTGAAGGCTTCTCTCTAGGGCAAACAGATGTTTTCTTTTAACTTCTTAATTAATATTTTTTTTTTTATCATATAACTACTTGATAATCGTTTTCTTAACTAACTTTTATGCTGTTTGTTTCGTGCATTATCACGACTTACGTGGATATGGACTGTACGTTGTTAGCTATTGATATTCCTAAAAGGAATAAATTAATTAATTTGGTAAA